CGTGGCCTGCGGCGTGGGGCGGGCGGGGCTCAGCGCCCTCTGGAGGCATTGCCTGGGCGTGCAGGCAGCCCTGGCCCCTGGCACGGGGCTTGCTCAGCGGCCTGGAGGAGTGGCAGTCCGCCCCCATCATGTGCCTGGTGGCCTAGGGGGTTTTCTCTCCTCCCTTAGAAGAGAAGCTTCTCAGCTGCAAGCCCCTTGCATGCCAGAGCCCTTCGGCAGCGGAGATAGGCAGGAGCAGCCCTAGGGGAGGGCAAACCAGGTGACTGGCCAGGGCCCCATGCTTTAGGCGGCCCACATCCTTTTTTTGGCGTGGGGGGGGGTGAAGTTTTTGCAAGGAGATGTCTCTGTTTGCATTTTAACACTCGGCTATTTCTCTAATTCCCACAAATAATTCCCGTCAAATAATATTGAAAGGATCCGTAATACAACCGTGGTGGGTTAATATTTACCTGAGTTAATATTAACTGGGATCCTTTGACTCTAGCTCACTTCCTGCCCCTGGGGCAGGGGGCTGGACTCGATGATCTTCTGAGGTCCCTTCCAGCCCTGATGTCTGTGAAATCTATGAGTCTGTACCTCGAAGGGCCCCAAATGACTCTCTTAGACAGGGCCCCAACAACCCTAAGGCCACCACTGAGATAGGGGTGCAGTATTGCCAACCTCCCCATGTTGAAAATCAGGAGACAAACTCTTAACAATCAAGAGATCTGGAATGTCAACTATGAAATGCTATTTGAAATGTGTGCACGTGGTTCCCGGGGCAAAGGCAGCAGAGCACAGAGCCCCAGCCTCTGCCCCATGCACAAATCTGGGGGACACATATCCCCCATGCCTCCTTCATTCACCCCAGCACCTGCCCCACTCCCTCCCTCACCATGGGGGCCTCAAGCTGCCCCTCCTGTCCCTTCCCTTTCCCCCTGCCCCCGCTTCCCCTCCACAGACTTACTGATTTGGTGTTATCTAGGTGCACCAGAAGAAAAAAATCACGAGAGTTGATCTCTCTATCAGGAGATCATGAGTCAGAGTTAATTTGACTTGGAAATTGTGAGTCTCATGATTTTTTCATGAGACTTGGCATTACTCAGGGTGTGTGAAAGGGAGGTAGGGGAGAAGAGAATCGTTGCATCATCTCGAGGGCCCCCGAGGGGTCTCTTAGTGCACTAGTTCTCAACCTTTTTTGTACCAGGACCCATTTGTAAACATCAATGGCCAGTCCCCATCCAGTGGCCCTTGCTCCTGATCTGCTGCCCCCAGTGTGTGGGACGGTGGGGTGTGAGGTGTGGGGGCCCCAAGCAGCCTCTCACAGGCTGGACCTCTGCCAGCGTGCAAGGGAAAAGCCACAGTTTCCCATGTTTTTCTCCTTTAAATCAGAATCCATTTTTAAAGTCTGATCCATTTAAAAAATTTGTTCACGACCCTTTCATATATTCTTGTGACCCACTTTTGGGTCATGACCCACAGGCTGAGAAACAGTGATCTAGTGCAGTGGTTCTCAACTTTTGTACCAGGACCCATCTGTAAGCATTGATGGCCAGTCCTGACCCAGTGCCGCTCACTCCTGACCCCAGTGTGTGGGGCAGGGTGGGGTATGTGTGGAGTATTGCGGGGTCCCAAGCAGCCCCTTGCAGGCTGGAAATCTGCCAGCCTGTAAAGGAAAAGCCAGTTTCCCACTTTTTTCTCCTTTAAAAGGGAATCCATTTTTAAAACTTGTTGATCCATTTTTAAAAGTTTGTTCATGACCCTTTCATATGTTCTTCTATGACTTTTGGGTCATGACCCAAGGACTGAAAATGCTGATCCAGTCCAACCCCCCTGCTTGAGGCAGGGTCATCCCTATGCAAACCATCCCATACAAGCCATAATCATAATCTAAACTCTGCATAAGACAACCATCAGCCCTGACAACAACACAGACTTAACACCCTAACTTGCCACAGGGAAAGCAAGGGAACCATGACAGTCAACTTGCTGCTTCTATAAAATGTTGTCAATATATGGAAAGAGGCAGAGCTAAAAACAAAGCTTACAATGTAAGGGTCTGGTGGCACATTAATTTTAGGCGGCTCCTGGTGGTTATAACCCCTGGATTGTCCACCCATTAACACCTGAAATTGGTTTTAGGCATGTTTTAGGTGGCTTAAAGTTATGTCACTCCAAGGCAGTTTTCTCTCTGATCTAAGCTGCATCCCTGCAGCAGTGGCCCTGAGATATCATTGTGATTTGAAGAAAGTCATTCTCCCCTCAAATTTAGAGAGTGCCCCCTTATTGAACTCCCCTCACAAAGTTTAGTAAGGACAAGTCCTGCACTTAGGATGAAACAATCCCATGCACTGGTACAGGCTGGGGGCTGACTGGCTGGGCAGCAGAAAAAGACCTAGGAGACAATAAGCTGCATATGAGCCAACAGTGCACCCTTGTTGTGAAAAAGGCTAACCGCATAGTAGGCTACATTAGTAGGAGCGTTGCCAGCAGTATAAGGGAAGTGATTCTTCCCTTCTATTCAGCACTGGTGAGGCCACATTTAGAGTACTGTGTCCAGTTCTGGGCCCCCCACTACACAAAGGATGTGGACAAGTTGGAGAGAGTCCAGTGGAGGGCAACGAGTTGGGGCACATGACTTCTGAGGAGACACTGAGGGAAATGGGCTTACTTAGTTTGGAGAAGAGAAGACTGAGGAGGTATTTATTTGCAGCCTTCAACTACAACTATCCAAAGAGGATGGAGTTAGACTGTTCTCCCTGGTAGATGACAGAACAAGGAGCAATGGTCTTAAGTTGCAGCAAGGGAAGTTTAGGCTAGATATTAGGGACAACTGTCTTGCTAGGAGGGTAGTAAAACACTAGAACAGGTTACCCAGAGAGGTTGTGAAATCTCCATCCTTGGAGGTTTTTAAGACCCAGGTAGACAAAGCCTTGGGCGGAATGATATAGTGGGGATGGTCCTGCTTTGAGCAGGGGGTTGGACTAGATCCTGAGGTCCCTTCCAACCCTCATTTTCTATGATTGTATGAAATTTTCCCCAAATGTACCTCTGTCTCGACCTGTAGGAATGACCACTGGGTTTGAGAAGGCAGTTCAGTTTCTAAGACCTCCTCTCCACAGATGTTGCTGGCAAGGAGGGCCTGCATTGTCATAACTTCCATGTTTATTTGTGTCACCTACTCTGAAGGCTGTTGTCCTTTGTGTGTTTTATGTTTTGGCTTTCTTCACACCTGCCAATGAGTATAAACTCTCAGCATTTCAGCAGTGTTATTACTGAACCTATTATTTTACAGTAATGGCATGTAACATTAAACTAGGTACAGGAGCATGCAATGAAAATACGACATTACTCTTATATACTGTATGTGCAACTGGCATTGAACAAGAACAGTATCATGAGTATTTCTGAAGCTGTCTCTCTGAAATTAGGTGCCTTTCTCTGCTTTTGCACACCTAAGCAGACGGGATTTGTTTTTCAGTTAATTGTTAAGTAATCTTTCTCTGATTGAAGAGAAGAGGAACTAACATTAGAGTTTTGTTACTGAAATACCCAGACACTTCTTTAGGCAAAAGAGGTAGTTAACCATGTCAAGCTGAAGTTAAGCAGAAGACAGGGCAGGGTGACACCATAGAGACAAAATAGTTGAGAAAGACATAAATTTTCATGGGCAACAGGGGATTTCTAAAACATATGATGGAGCAGTCTGTTGCTTATGAAAGCTGATGCCTTTTTGAACAAGTTAATCTCTAAAGCTAAGTACAGATGTTCAAAAAGCCCCTGGCAAAAAGCACTATATCACACTTTACTTAAAGTGCCGTAAGTTAAGAGTGCATTCCAATTGAATAGACATGCGCTTTTCAGTGCGGGGGTGGGCTTGGTGCCTGCCTGCACTGGA